ATGTCTTAGAAATATTATAATGAACACTTACGGCTGTTTGTAAAACCCTAATCAATTCAGTACTCTTGATATCTGTTTAATCAGAACAAGTCATCCTGGGATCTCAAGGCTGCTACATATCTCTTACTGTGCCCCCATTAAGGGGCCCTGGCTGGGTGCACGGCCATTTTGGTTTACAAGCTTGTGCATCAGTTTCATTTATTTTTGCACATTCTCTAACTTGGTTTCTCTCCCCACCCCTCTTTTTTTCCAGACAATAATAGAACACTATGATGCTTAGAGAACCAGAAAGAAAGGAGGGAAAAATGTCAATATTATGTGCTCCTCTGGAATGTTTCAGTTGATGCAACCCCCCTGGAGTTGGCAAAGTCTAAAGTTAGTAAAGGAACAGTCAGCTATACTAAGGATGTTGGCTTGCGGTGTCTGACTGTTCCTTTGTTTTTGATCACAGAAATCAGGAGCATGGCAGTGTTATCTCAAGCAACTGAGTTGTCAGAGTGATGAAAATCAGGGCTCCATGTAACTGATCAACTACTGAGGGCATTAAGAAGTTCATGGGCCTGTATCAGCAAGATATATAGAGAGGGGAAAAGCAGCATCTTCGACACTATAAGCCGGGAAAGAAAGAAAAAGGGGGAGGAAGGTAAGGAATACATGGGATCAGAGGCACCCAGATCCTACTGTGACGAGCATGGTGTAAATGCTTAGAATGAGCGATAACTTAGTGTGTTTGGGCTGGACCTCAAAGAACAAGCATTGACCCCTGTTTACATGGTGCCTTTTGTCCATGGATCTCATAGCGTGACATTCACAACAATTACATTTTAGGTTGACAGTGATTTTCAGAGCCTCATAATAAAGGAATCCAACATCTGCTGATCTCCATGCCTGTTGAGAGTGCAGAGTATTCAACAAATATGGATAGTAGAGCTCTGAGCATTTCTGGGTGACAGATCCCAGCGGCAGTCAAGCTTAGAAAGGAGAGAGATCTGAAATGGGGGTGCCGGCTTTGTAATGATTCCTATGGCTACAGTCAGGATCCAATCCATCATCTCCTGTCATCCAGCATATCACTCAAAATGGGCTGTCTGCACCAGCCATACTCTGATGACATACATAAAATATGTTAGGACTCAATCAGAGATGCCTTGAGATCTTTGATGGATAACAAGGAACACTCTAACCCACAAGGTAAATAAGATGAAGAACTGCAGAAAAATCACCCCGACAGATGAGCAGATCTGTGAGATACTAAGAGGGCTCTGCTGGAGGGTGAGGCTCTGGTACTTGTTATAATTCCTGACACAAAGGGCGCTAAGGCCAACTCCAGTGTCACTTCTTGACAATCCTATATCTGTGGGCCTGTCCAGCCTCTGTGAAGGGGTTTAGAGGAGGCAAGTACTTTGGGGAACAGAAGGATTGGGTTATTTAGGCTTGGAAGCAGGAGAAGAGCTTGTGTGGACAAAAGGTGTAGAGCCAGGGTCGCAAAGGGTGGTATAATGGTTAGCACCAAAGCTGGTGGTCTCCATTTATCTGGAGTTGTGGGCTTTGGTGGGGGGAGGAGTGGAAGAGTTGTTGCCTTCCTGAAGCAACTCACCTCTGCATCAAGACAAATGGGAATAGCATCAAGTGCTCTGGAGTGACAGAAGTGGCCCAGACAGGTGTACAGGACTACTGCTAGCGTGTCCCCAGCAATCCCCAAATGGCTTGTTAGTTTTTCTTTGTGCACCAGAAAGCCATTAGCACTAGCAAGGTGCATGAGTACCAGATACAGAGCCAGGGGAAGAGCCTTCCATGTGCAATTCTGCTGGGGCTCCACATTTCCTGAGAACTACACTTACAGGAATGCTGGCCCCAGGATGCTGAGTGCAGCACTTGGACAGTTGGCATCGGGAGAAGAATTCCCCATAGAGCATAAACTGGGAATAGTGCCAAGACTAAAGATCCTGATGCAAATGGGCCTTTCCGAGTCTCCAGCTGGCTGTGCCCATAGGACTGAAAAGTGACTTCCTTTGGCAAGCTGGAAGTGTGACCAAATCCAGATCTGAACCCCGATTTTCTGAAGTGAGTGGATCCTGGACTAAGCCACTGAGGGCCATCCCTGGGTCCCAAAGGAACTCCCTGTAATACTGTAGGGAAACGTAGCACTTACATCCCACTTTTCATCTTCAAAGTGCATTACAAACATTACCTAGCTCATGCTCACAACAGCTCGGTTGGCAGATTCATGCTTCAGAAATACAGGGCATTCTCCCGCTTGGAACCTGCTGGGTAATATTAGGCTATTGAAGGGAATGTTTGCATCAGGGAGACACAGAGCCCGTGGGTGGTGTTTGTCGTGTGATGGCACCTAAGTAGCCCAACCAAGGATCACAGACCATTGTGCTAGGACCTGTGCTGTGTACACACACTAAAAAAGATAAAAGGGAAAAAAAAGGCCATGCCTCAAAGAGCTTACACTAGAAGTACAATTTTAAAACAGTTACTGAAAATGACTGCAGCTAGCTACAAACTTTATTCCTACGTGACTAGAAAGTAAAACAAAGCAAATCTGGCATATTCTATCTGGAGGATATGAAAGTTCTGGGCAACCTTCTTCTTGGACCTTCCCTTGAGGCCACTTTAATGAAGAGTTATCCAAGAGAACAGCCTGAGTGGGAAAGGAGCAAGTTGACTGGACAGCCATGTCATTCCTGAGGGAATGTGAGAGTTGTGATTGGCTGAAAATCTTCTCTAGTCATATCATTTAAAAATTATATTCATTACTGAAAATTTACCATGCATTGCAGCAACATCTCATTTGACCCATTAAGAGAGACACTGAATTAAACGAAAACTAATTGCTAAATCCCTGAGAAGTAATGCTGTAACCATTGGTCCCTTCTGAAGAGTCGGTGATGACATCTTACATCACTCCCTTCCATGACGTAAACACAAGTGTCCATGTGCATTGTGAACCATGATCTCAGCTGCTTATGGCTTTCAAGCAGACCCTGCGCATGCTGGAATATTAGTGCGGCCAAAAGCATTTCTTTGGATTGGACTTGGGAGGTTCCAAACACTTTCCTAGCTTCTCACAGCCTGGAGGAGCCCAATTCTGTTAAAAAAAAGAAAGAAAGAAAGAGAGAGAGAGAAACATATAAAATCAGCCTTGTGGAATTAAACTGTCAAGGTCTGGAAGAGGAGCTAGACAATGAGCCCTGAGCCACAACAGACCCATTTACATTTTTAGTACACGAGACCACTTTTATATTCTCATTGAAAAAGGAACCTTCACTTGCGGCTGAAGCTAGCAGGGTCCATCTAGCTACACCCTTGGAACTTCATCCCTACAGTCCTCAGGAAAGCCCACAAATCCTTTTCCCGCACATGGTTATGAAACTGCCTTCCACATTCCTTCAGTAACAGACACCTGCATTAGCCTCCTGTCTGAGATCTGCAGTGTGCAGGGGGTTGTGGTGACCCCTCTCTCCAATAACGTGATGAGGGAGCAAATCTACATGTTTGGTGAAACCCCTCAAATTGCCCCGATCCAGAAAGAGGCTGTAATTATTAGCAGTAAGGTATTTTGTAAAATTTCTTAAGGAACCAAGTACAAGGCAGCAGCCTCTGAAGACTGAGGGTGAGACAGAGAAGAATATTTGCGTTTTAATGAGCATTTTGGGGGATTAGCCTATGAATTGATGGATTAGGAGGCGCTTAGATAACGACCACGCCAAAACATGTGAACCAAGGCTATTTGCCTCCCTTCTTTTCTTGCTTCTTGAATGATCTTGTCCCAGTGTGCAGGCGGCAGAGGATAAATGTGATCAGTGAGGAAACCCAGCTTCCAAAAGGCTATTAGGAAATGGGTGGGTGGGGGTGAGTATTTAAATGATGAAAAAAAAAACCCAAAATGAAATGTGGGATTGCAGTAAAATGAATGAAAAGTCACAATTCCTGTTCTGTCTCCAGAAATCCTCTGCTCTCTCAGTCTCCCTCCTATGAAACAGAAGCCTGGTAAATGATGATCTTTCTTTCCTCTCTCTCAGTGCCCATACACCCATGGGAAATTCTTCTTGTCAGTTATTAAAGTTCAAGTCTGCTCTGACCTACTGTCTTTATTTTTATATATATAAAATCTAGTCATTTGCATTTGTTTATTTGCATTTGTTTCGTATCAGATTCCTTCAGGGAAAAGATTAATGCTATAAAAAATGCTGGAGCAGGTTTACATTCCACATAACTAACAACAGATGGCAGTGACGCACCAGCAATCTCTGTGGGCGGCGAACGGGAAGGCAGAGGGATTTCATATGAGCGTGTCTCCTGAAATGAAGGGCTCCAGACAATTTAAGAACAATTAATTCTGCTTTCTAAATATGTTTCTCACTTTCAAAATACATACGAACAAGGAAAACCCACTGGAAATTTCACAGGCTAAACATTCTGCTGAAGCAATATAGATCCAAACAAACAAAGGGAATTTTCATCCTTTTGAAAAACTGGATTACATCTGCTTTAGACTCAAGATTTAAGTCCATTCAGCTTTCATAGATCCATTCTTGAAACACCACGTCCTGAGACCCCTTCATATGCCAAGTCCCACATCCAGCAAAACTGGTGTGTGTCCAGGCAGAGGGGCAGTTTCTTCAAACCAGCACATTGAGAGATCAGCTCAACAGGGGTTCCCTGCACATTAATGACCGGGAGCAGTGGGGCACAAGAGAGTGGAGGATTTGCCACATCGGTGGTGCAGAGGTGCTAAAGTTGCAGCGCCTATTCCTGTCCTGAGACCGGAGTAACAGCTACAAAGTGGTTGATCTGCTTTATTCCATGGCTAAATAGGAAAGATTCCTCTTCCCAGCCCCCCAAGGGATCTTCAGGGCACAAGCCAAGTAAATGGGCTTGGCACTAAGAACAGATATGGGGACCCACTACTAGGTACATGCAGAAATTGGAGAACCTTTCAATCCATTTATCAAAGGAGGCAATATAATACCATTGCTGAGTGATGACAGTTATTAAAGCAAACGTGAAACAAATGCAGCACAGAAGAACTGATTCAACTGCTTCCCCTGCACAACATACAAGAAATGAAAATCCTAGAAATTAGAGATGGTAAAAACTTACTAGGTGACTCTATCCATCTCCCTACTAATGCAAGATTGTTCCTTATGTTATAGTCTGTAGCCACTGGCATTTGCCCTGGAAGATTATTTCACTGTCGGGAAGATTTTTCCTGCTATTCAACCTACAACATTTTCCTTTTTTTTCAATTTCATCCCAGTATCCTAGACACACATCTTGGACTACACTAAATAATTCTCCCTCTTTGGGGTTTACATGCTTCAAATCTTGCACACTGCTCCGGGCCCTTCTCAATGTCCCAAACCATCACGTTCAGAAGGAGCTCAGTAGAAATCAGGGACTTTTTGACTGAAATGCCAAAGCACAACCTATCAAACATGCAGTTTCAAATACAATCTGAACAGAAAAGCAGCACTACTGTCCATTTGCTGTGTTTAAGACCATGAAGACTTTGGAAAAACAGTTGTGGGCTGAGGTTGGGGAGGTGGACCAAGACCAAAGATACCCAAACCCATTGAGAATGACAAGAGCCCAGGTGCCAATCCCATTGCTCACAATGCAGCTGGACTGCTGAGATTTGTAGAGGGGATTAGGAAGGAGGAGAAGGCACTAGAGCCGTGGATACTGTACTATCTATAAGGAAGGAAGTCACAGAGTTTATCACAGTGTGCTGGTAGACTTTCCAGGCCTAAGACCACACACTTTGTACTACGGCATTCCACAGATAACCAATGGCTGTATCTTCAATGCAGTAGCCAGATAGCCCTTCGAAAGCACTGAATGACGTTTCTTCTCTAGCCCTCCTCAGTGTTAGGTGAGACTCTTAAGCTTTACGAAATACATTATAAGCCAAGGATGCTCAAATTGATTTATGTTTTAATCCCTTACCATGACGGCCTTGTCACAGACGTTTAGCTGTGGCTCCCCTGGCACCATGGTCTCCTTGTGCAGCTGGACTTTGGGGGATATTTGTTCCATAACTTCCTGGTACTCAGAGCTGGAAAACCTAGAACAATATGAAAGCAACAGGAGTTATTAGTTAGACACTACCCTGGTGTCTGGTTCGATGTACGGTATGTTTAGGGGACAGGAGTTTGTACAGTGCATGGCACTTAGGGCCATTGGGAAACTGATGCTTGGTACGGCTGCTCCGGGACAGTGCCTAGAGCACTATACAAGCACCTGGTAACACATCTAAATAAGTAAATGAGAAAGTTGGGTAGGATTTCCAGAAACACGAGGGTGCTGGGTGTCGAACTTCCATTGCCTTTCAATCAGAATTGGGGGCCTCGGTGCTTGGAACATCCCACCCGTTTTCCCTATAACAAGGGAAAAAACAGTACTTTGCTTCTTTGTTACACCCCCAACATTGACTAATTCAGCCTCTCAATTCCCCAGCAAGGTGGGCAAATATCACGAACCCCACTCCGCAAATGGGGAACCCGAGAAAGAGAGAACTCACAGGACAGAGCCAGGGACAGAACCTGGAGTTCCCAACTCCCCACCCCATGTTTAAACCACAAGAATGTTTTTCTTCAGCAACATTCTTGTTGCTGGCTGGCACCAACCTGTCCCATTCATACACAGGACACTAGCCAAGCTTCTCCCATTGACCTTAATGGGGAGTTGGCAGCCTAAAGCCCCCATGCAAAGAACGGTGAACCTATCTCCCTTTTATCAGCATTATTACTTCAGTAGGTATTGTTTAAGTGGCTTACACTCTATTTCACTGTGGTAATACTTCAAGTACTTCTAAAATGGAGGATTAATACCCAGTGATCTCATTTTGCCCATATTAAGAGTCACTTAAGAAACAGAGAACGGCAAATTGCTTCTGGAGATAAAAGGGAAACAATGCAACGTGGTCCTGACCCCAGGCTCTCTTTGCTAACAGCCCAACCTGGCCACCAGCCCCACACTCCAGCTAATTTCCTTCTCTGAAAAACAATCATCTCTTGAAGCCCAGCAATGTGCCAACTGTTTCCAGTAAACCCTATAAATATCACATCTCCTCGGCAGCCTTCCAGAGAGAAGCTGATTGTGGGGATGGGTCTGAGCTATGCTGATAGCGAACGAAAGGGAATTGGGAATGACCAGCTCAAGCAAGCTAACCTGTCTCTCTCACACCTACCTAGCTGTATCCTGGATTAGAGAACAAACGTAGAGACTATCAGCAGGTCCAGCAGTATGATTTGGTTGGACCACCAGGAGAGATTATTCTTGTGACGTTCCCATTCCATCACACTCTATCTCCTTTTCTCTCCAATTGCAGCAGGTTCTACAGTTCTCTGTTACACCTGAGGCTATTCTGAAAACTGGGGGTCGACCAAACGTTTTGCAGGTCCCAAAGACCATCTCTGGCTACCACTCTTGATAGGAGCATTCAAAGCAGCAGCCATGTGGCCAGTGAGTGAAGACAGCATTGCACCCGAATGGCCACATTGTATCTGGAGGGTCTCTGGTCACATTCAACACACGGGACTCCCAGGATGACCGTTTGTTAAAAAAAGTTATTCAGCTGAGGCTGTTAGGCCTTAAAAGCTAATCTATGTTGACATACAGGGAAGAGATCACAAAGAAACGCCCGCACGCTGTCAGGAGACATCACAAAGGGAAGCTCACAAAGGCTGTGGATGTAGTAAGAGAGATGTACAATGACTTACACAATAAATTGGGCACCGGAGCCCATTAAAATTGGATAGTTCTTTAAAGGGGGAATGTCACTATGCTGCAAAGTTGAAAAGAGAGAACACTTCTCAAGCCTAAATGCTACCGTGACTGGCGGATCAGAAACCAAGATAGCTTGTGTACTTCACATGAAAATACATTCTAATAGCAATAGTGCTTTGTCCTTCTATTGCACCTTTCATCTATCGGTCTCAAAGCGCTTTGAAAACCTTATTTAATCACACTTCGTATTATGGTGCCATTTATAAAAGGGTTAATAAATGATTAAAGATGTTTTAATAAACGGTTAATTAATTGTTAGTCCAACAGATCAATAGGTTGCTCTAAACCACCACACTTTTAACTGATGTGGTTATAATGATCTAAACACACATACTACTTATGTCTGTAACACATTTAACCCCTATTCAGCATTTACCTTTTATAAACAATTTATAAGTGGAACTTTAAGCTTCACATCTTCTTTGTAAAATACCTAAGGGTTAAATGCTTCACCCACCAAAAGTGCTTTTGGGGCACAGGGTTCAAAACGGAGCTGTGGCCTGGCTGACAGGTACCAATGTGTTGCTGTGATTTTGCTGCTTTTTGCTCCATACATGTCAAGGCTGTCGATGGTGAAATCCTCCTTTTTGTCATAATTACAGCCACTGGGTTTGCCCACAGCTCTACTTCTCACCAGCCAGCTGTTACACGTCCGCATGGTGCCGAATAGAACGGAGAAGGCTAGTGTCATTCACAGCATCTCCTTGCTCGGATCTGCACGTGCAGGCCATTGTTTGTGTGTCCCTCACTAGTTCAGTCACCAGAGGAAACCTTGGCCCAACATCAGTTCCTGTGAACCTGTTCAGATCAGCCAAGGAAAGTGGAATAGGAACACCCCTATCCCTTTATCTATCTATCTTGGGGTATCCGAACCATCCATCATTGTAGTACCTCAACAGTTAGATCCTTTCAGTATTTGGCACAGACTGGACAATTTCCAGAAGCATGGTCTGTTTGAAGCAGCCTGGCTCAGACAATATTTTCACACCTCTAAAGCGAGTACAGTCTAAAACTTAAGGCCATGTCTAGGCTGTGTTTGAAAACATATGACCTAAAAGGTGTTGGTGAAAACAAGTTAAGTACTGTACAGACACGTTCTTAAAAGTTACACTGAGCCTCTGCAAGTGTTTTAAAACATGCCGAATTGTGACAGCCTTACTCACCTGAAGTACTCTACTCCACAAGTCTGACTTCAATGGGACTCCTCATGGTGTAGGCCAGAGTCCTAGTCAATGTAAGGTTCTCTCAGTCTGGCCCTAAAATCTGTTAGCTAGAACATGTTTTTAAAACACAACCCAGGTTTCTCAGCTAGTCCTGTCCCAAGAGTGTGGGGGTGGTACTGGGGGAGTGCACTGGCCATGTGACTACTGTTCACTTTAAATTGGAGTCATGCTGTGAAATCATCATTCGCTCCTTTGTGGTTGTTATTTGAGTGCCAGTGTGGCCGGCCCTGTCAAAAACGGAGGAAGACAGAGCCTCTGCCCCATGGAGTTCACAACTTATTCAGACCCGCAGGCTGACCTGCTCATATCTACAATATGCCTGCTGATGATCCCACGCTCACATGCCGTGCTTTTACAGAGCAGTATCTAGTGGGTTGCCACTGCCCACAGCCTCATGGCAGAAGCATGTTTGGAGAAGGAGTTTGTAATAGGAGTGTGAGTTTGATTAGTGCCCAAGGTTTAGGGGGTAAATACTTCCTGGTAACCAATCTGAAATCTACCTGTGAACTGTTAACATAGCTAGGAACCTCTCTTACTCCTACGAGTCGCCCCATTGTCTTCAGTGGGAACGCAGGATCAGGCCCCAAGTGCAGAGTCTGCAGCATTTTCTATAAAAATGATATTATCTATCCAGGTGTTGGAATGTTACCATCTGAGTGAAGGTTCAGACCACTCTGCCTCCAGGGCACACTGCATTTGTATTCTAGCTCAACAATCCTGCTGAAGGGAAGAGCTGGGAATAGCAGTGAAAGAAGAGAGAACGTGAGCAAGGGTTGAGCAGGTGTTGTTGAGAGGAGTTTGCTAAAAGAGAGCCCCCTGTGTACATGAAGTTATTCCATGCTCAGAATGAAAGAACAGAGTGGACAAAGTCCAGGGTCATTACACTAATTGACACTTTACCTCCAGGAAGTCTCTGGAGAGCCAATCAGGGCTGGATTGCAAGCACTAGGTCCCAGACACAGGTGTGGCCTGTGCTTAGTTCATTTAGAGTAATTGTGCTTTGGCAATCTGTTCTCATCTCCTCCCTCTCCAAACAAATCCACGTGTAAACTGCTCTGCTGCTAACCCCCCTCCCCCATGCCCTACAATGAAATTAACATTTGGGGGAGGGGATGGAGAGGTCTTTAATGTACTACTTTGATTAACAGAGCATCATTTTAATCTTAGAATCCTCACAGTCCTTCACAGGTTTGCTACTAATTTTGAATTATATGAGAAGTTATGAGACAATTTCTTTATCTTTCTCATCACACATAAACCTGTAATAAACAGTATACCCAAACAGGCAGAACATTTCTAGCTAGCTTAGTTTTTGAGCTAGATCTTGGTTTTTAAATTGTACCTTTTCCAGGTGATTTATATACAAGCAGACTCCAATACCTCTATCCTGGGAACCATAGGATTACCTTATTATTGAGAGAAATGTTACCAAATGGTCATAATATAACAAGTATCAGTGGGGTAGCCGTGTTACGTCTGTATCCACAAAAACAACAAGGAGTCTGGTGGCACCTTAAAGACTAACCGATTTATTTGGGCATAAGCTTTCGTGGGTAAAAAACCCACTGAAGAAGTGGGGTTTTTACCCACGAAAGCTTATGCCCAAATAAATCGGTTAGTCTTTAAGGTGCCACTGGACTCCTCGTGTGAGTATAACAAGCTTCATAGAAGTCTGACACCAAGCTATTTAATATTGCTGACACCAGTATCTTTTACCAGACATATGTGAAGGTAGTGGAACAACATCAAATCTGGTTAATAAAGTGGCTTCTGTATTTTACTTCTTTCTCCATAGGAATGGTTTAACATAAATCCCTTTTTGTTTCTAATAATTAAATAATCACACCCAGACCCTGATGGGCTAATCTTATCTACTTCAGGTACTTTCTGGGTTTCCTATAGCGTCCACCACTGTAGAATCTAAAACTTCATCTTCTGCTATTATTCAGTCTTCCTTTGTTGCTGTTTTCCATTGTCAAGTTTATTCTCAATGTAAAATCTGTATTAGATGAGATGGAGACAACCGGCCTGGGCTCTGCTTCTCAGATGCAGC